CTAACATCTTGTAAATTTTTAAATTGTTGGAAAATACCAAAAAAAAACCTCTCTAAGTGTCTGTAGCCTGTGAACCACAAGGTTTGGAAGAATATTCCACAGAGTAGCTTCTGACTATATGCATTTCCAAACTTTCATCTCCACCCCACATGCACTTTCAGCCCCAGGTTCTCAGGATATGGGCGTATTTATTATATCATTAGATCTGGCCCTGCACTTCTTTTTCTTCAATCTTTTATTTATTTTTGGATTAACATGAGGGTACACACAATTATGTTACATTGTTTGCATTTATAAGGTAAAGTCTGAGTTGTAATTGTGATCTTCACCCAGGAAGTGCCTATCTCTCTTTTTCAACATCGGACTGTAGGAATACTCTGGAAGCCAGGTACACGAGGACACTCCAGTGAACTAACTATAAGTGGAAGTAACTATGAAAACCATATAAATAGGTCCCAGCCTGAATGCATCCCTAATTCAACTTTCTTTAGCTCAGTTTCAGAAATAACCACAGCCATTTGAACAGCACCCAACACGACAGAAGGAAACGTGCGTGTGAAGAAGGCAGCAGCCAGAACCATTTGCAGTTAAAAGGTTTTGCTTCTGCAAATTGGTAAAAGCATGTGACTGTGAGAACACACTGCTAGGGCCGCTCCCGGAACTTTGAACGGGATCCATATATGGGGGGAGCCCCCGAAAATCAAGCTTTTGTAGATTCAGGGTAAATCCACTCCTGCCAGCATGTTGTGGTACTTGTAAATACAAAGTAGACACTCAAAAAACATTCGGCAAGTGAATAAGTGAATGACTAGAAAAGTACTGTTTCTGTGTTTCTTCCATAGCGTTGCTAAATCAAACTGTCTTTTGAATTTAAATTGGACTCATTAGTTATAGGTTAGATTTATCATATTAAAACCAGGCTAAATATCTGAGTCATTTGGGATCTATTCTCAACATGAAATACATCAAGAAGATTTATTAACTGTAGGCACAGGTTTAGTGACATTTTCCTTTTTCTTTCTGTGGTGAAATTGAAGATTTCTATACAATTTCGCCACCCCATCAAGTGTGCTTCTTCAAAATATCCTCTAAGCAGAGCCATTACTGGGAATGTCTTTCTACTAAAATTACAGAAATACTTTCTTCTGTGGATATGTTATACTTACTTTTTTTTTGGAAAGACAAATACTACTCAGTGGTATTTATTATATTATTTTTATGACTCCTGTGGAGAGAGTTGTCTGAATTTTTTAGAGAGTTGATGTTGCAGCTAGAAAGAGCTGAAAAATTGAAGGCCTGCATTTTCCAGATGGGGTGAAAATATAGATTTATTTAAATTTTAATTAACTGATGTGAAAACAGACAATGCTAGAAAGGAAATTGGGGTGTCAGACAAGAAACAACATATTGAATGAGAGTTTCTGGGCTTTAATAGGTTCCTTTTATTCTCTTGCCCAGGGTTGGCGTATCAGTTTCTCTGGTAATGAGAAAGCACCTGTAAAATCAAATGAGCTGTCATAAAACCTGACTCTGAGTATACATTTTTGCACCACTGAAAAACCATGTGTTAAAGAAAGTCTAGCACGTGTCCCCAAGGCCACATCTGAAGAACTAGGACAAGTGGCTTGAGGAGAAGGAGAAGGAAGTTTATTAATTTGATAATGAGGAGGATGAAGACTCTCATCTTAAAGTGCCATCATCCTAACTATAGCAGAAATCCAGAGCTTTCAAAGGGGAGGTTTTCAGCGTTAGGCTGTTGCTATTTAATTGTAGTTAATGGTTCTGATCAGTCTCGTTTCACCTCAAAAAACAGTCTAGTGACTTCTGTCCGCATTCTGTTGAACTCTCTCCTGTGGTACAGAGAACTTAGAAGGCTCTGCCCCTCTGATGACTGGCTTGGGGCAGGGATACAGGTTTTAGTTATCAAAAAGGGTTGGAGGGAGGTTAAAAGAGACAGAAAACACTTTTATCCTTTTTCAGGCCATTTCCTCTGTTAACAGTTGTGCCACTTTCTGGAATGACAGCATCAAAACACTTCTTGCAAATGCTGGGTTTTTCCACTTGACATTCAGATGGAGATAGTTGAGAGAAGCTAAAAGCTGTGAGGCAAATAATGGTCTATTGACAGAAAAGTTGTGGCCTTCCGGCTAGACTTTTGGTCACATTCTTAATTTAGGATAAGGAATTCTGTGATGCCATGAGGTGAAATACAAAGCCTCAGTTGGATTCATCAACCATGAATCAAACACAAGCCACATATTTCCCATGTTTATATGATTATGTCTTTTTACCTTTTCACTTTTCAAAACTTCCAAGTAACCTTGGGACCTAACTGGAACATACACAGTGTGGAGTAGGAAAAGACAAATATAGGTTGCAACTATCTTTTTGTTTAATATATATATTTTCTGGTATGCTGGAGAAAAAATATATATGCATATGCGTTTGAAGGTGGATTTTTCTGTTCGGTGATGTGTGAGTGATTCCAAAGAGGAGACCCTTTAAGTACCCTGTAAGAGAGCGTGTTACTGGGCACGTTGATTTCCTCATCACAGTAAAATCCTTTAAAATTCTCTGAGAGCAGATAATTTGCCTTACTATTGTTTATTACAACTTGAAGTAGGAAGAAAGAAATCAGTTTAAAATGATTAAACAATGAAAAAAGGCCAGGAGCAGTGGCTCACACCTACAATTCTAGCACTCTGGGAGGCCAAGGTGGGTGGATTACTTTAAGCTCAGGAGTCCAGACCAGCCTGAGCAAGAGCGCGACCCCGTCTCTACTGAAAATAGAAAAATTAGCTGGATATTGTGGCACACACCTGTAGCCCAGCTACTGAGGCAAGAAGATCACTCAAACCCAAGAGTTTGAGGTTGCTGTGAGCTATGATGCCACAGCACTCTACTTCAGTGTGATAGTGAGAGAGAGAGAGAGACACTGTCTCAAAATAAATAAATAAATAGAATGAATAAAAATTATTGGCTGCCTGTTGAAAAGCCCTTTGCAGCATGTTAGAGATAAAGTAAGCAAGATACAAAGCAAGACATGCTTGATCAGGAAAGCACAGACATATTTCAGCACGATTAGAAAAAGATAAAGATTTTTTTCCCCTTAGCTTCATTCAGCTGGTGTGATGAGTGTTATTGATTAAAATGTTAGGATCAATAAAGATTTAAAATTGGAGTAGAGGAGACCTTAAGGAAGAGAGCTAGGTTATGGTCTGTTGAGTAAGCTGGCAATTAAATGCTTTGTGGAAAATTGATTTTTTTAAACATGAACTGTCAATTACCCTGCTTGGCCTTCACTGGCATAGATTGTTTTCCAGCAGCCGTCTGCATGTGCGTGTCAAACAACACACATTGTTACCAGACTCATGCACTCAATATTTGTGAACATCCTGTACAACCAGAAGCTAATTATAAAACGTCAGCCCATCCGAACATGTGTTAATGCTTTTAAAAGAATTATCTGTAATGGTAATGAGGAAGCTGATTCTGAAGTCATCTAACAGCCAATGGCATTTAACATGTTTCTTCTCAGAATATAATTATGTATAACACACACGGCTGCATTTTGTCACATTTTTTTTAATATGACAACAGTTATGTTTTAAATCCCTTTCTTCTCTTTTTCTTAATTCATCAGTATTAAAACCTTCCAAAGATTAGACTTCTGTGTTACAGCCTCGTAACCAAGGATAATGAGTTAGTTATTCCTCACAGAGAAGCAACTGCATTGTAGGACTTACTGTCATTTGTAAGAAAAAATAATAGACAAATCTAGAAAAAGACATGAGTAAGTGGCAGTGCCTGTGAGTCAGTGAGTAGGGCACTGGGCCCCGTATACTGGGGGTGGTGGGTTCAAACCTGGCCCTGGCCAAAAACTGCAAAAAAAAAAATAAAAGTGAGTAAAAGACAAAGCACAGTGAGATAAATATAGAGAAAAGACTAATCAAAATATCAGTCAATTTTTAAAAAAGGAAAACAAAATCCAATAACATAAATTTTAGGAAAGACATCTGAAATAAGTGAGCTTATCTGTGAAATATATGCAAAAGGTAACCTTAAGAAAATGATTAAAAGACCAACACCTTAAAAATTAACAAACATAGGCTTTAAGGGCTGCTATAGAGATAAATGCGGAGAAACAGAAGAAATGCCTTAAATAGAAGGGAAAAGAATAAAGGCTCACCAGTCACTAAATTCTGGTTAGAACTCTTCTCGGGGATCGCTCTGGGCACCATTTTCCTGTATAAATAGTTACATGTTCCTTTGGAGCTTTTACAAACAGACTTTTTACCAGAAACTTTATTTTTTTTTTTCAAGAGACAGGGTCTCACTCTGTTGCTCAGGCTGGAGTGCAGTGGTGAGACCACTCCTTGAACTCCTGGCCTCAAGCAATCCTCCCACCTCGGCCTCCCAAAGTACCAGGATTATAGGTGTGTGTCATGGTCCCCAGTCAAGGAACACATTCTTTCAAATCAGTTTGGACCATAGTGAATAGTAATTTCACTGTTTATTTTTCTAAGATACAATATGTAGAAATGAATGATAAATATTACAAAGTCATTTCTTCTAAATTACATGAAATACCACTAAAGAATAATGTTGAGCCATCAAATTTGTTAAAATTTAATTTTCCATGAGTAGGTGTTCTCATAAACACAGTTCATTATGGTTTTGTTTTCACTTCCTGAAAGTGGGACACAACTACAACAGGGACTTTACCTAACAAATGCAAACATTGGAACCTAATTGTTTGTACCCTTATATAAATCTGAAATTTAAAAAAAATGGAAAACAAAAATATATTTGATCTATGACCCCAGTAATGTACCTCTGTAATCTAAAACAAGTATTTTTCATGGAAAAACCAGTGGTTCATTGTGCATTCACTTTGATTTTGGCTGATACTTTCTAATTTTGAAATTGGTAATCCAAACAGACTCCAAGAGTGTATCAGGAACTGGGGGGGTCTGACCTGCCTTTGCCTTGACCCACAGGTGCACCCTAAGCGTGACACTGGAGCAAGCCATCATTCTGGCCAGAAGCCATGGACTGCCTCCCCGATACATTATGCAGGCTACAGACGTGATGCGGAAGCAAGTAAGTCTCACACATGTTCTAGGGGGATGTTTTGTAGCACTTAGACTTGAGGTTTCCTTTGTTCATGGGTCAGATATTTGACAGGTGCCTAGGTGTGAAAGGTGCTTTACTAGGCTCAGAGGGTAAGTTGTGAATGAGAAATGCTCCCAGGGAGAAGACAGGGAAGCAACTTGTGGGGTTTTTCCAGAAATCTTAGCCTGGGAACAGAAATGTTTAAGCCAGTGGTTCTCAACCTTCCCAATGCTGCAACCTTTTAATACACTTCTTCATGTTGTGGTGGAATAACGAAAATTATTTTCGTTGCTACTGTATGAAGAATATATTATTATATGAAGTAGCAATGAAAATAATTTTATGGTTGGGGGTCACCACCACATGAGGAACTGTATTAAAGGGTCACGGCATTAGGAAGGTTGAGAACCGCTGGTTTAAGCAGTAACTTAAAAGAGGAAGAATTGACCAAGTACAATGGGATAAAAGTAGACCTGGGACTTGGCTGAGGAACAAGGTAAGAGGACATATGGCATTTTCTAGGAATTGTAGATGATTTCGTAAGACTGGCAGAGTGGGTTTGGGAGCAAGGAACAGTGAGGCCCCTACATGCTTCTGGTCATCTACAAGGGTCTTGCTGTGTGTTTCTTTACTCCAAAGATAAAGCAATCGCCTTTTCCTTTGGAGAAAGAACAGCAGTCTTGGGACTGTCTTTAGGTCACTGGAGTACTTCTAGGTGAGGATATATTCTTTTATAAATTGAATGAACCTTCTGTACAATGATCCAGTAGTATTTTCAGTGTGGTAGTTTAATTTTCAATCCTTAAAATTCTACTTTAAAAAAAAAACAACAAAAATGCACTAAGCCTCTAATTTACTGATTAGGAAAATGTACTTCATCTAGTAGAAAAGACACTTAACCTTGGGAAAAGCAGAAGAAATTGAGGGACGTCCATTTTATATGCTTTTCTACCACCTTGTCTTTGGGATACCACAGAAAATGGATGTAATAAATCTCTCTCCTTGCTGACTTGGTTTAAGTTGCCCAGTGATAGTGATATAGGCCTTTGTAATTATGACTGCTTTGTTTATTATTAAAGACTCACTGCCTAACTCTCAGGCAAACACATAAATCCTTTGGGCTTGCCCCCAAGATTATACTACAGAAAATCAATGAAGCCAATGAAAAAAAGCAACCAAAGAGCTGGCAACACCATGTCAGCATCTGCAACACAGAGATGGACACAGGGTGTGCATAGACGTTAGTGCTTCTGGTTAGGACCCCGGAGCTGAAGATTGAAAACCAAGACCTTAGAGGGTCCCATAGGGATTTCTGAGTAAAGGTTAGATCTGCCAGAAGTATGGGACATACTGTGGTCTAGCTGGCAAAGGGCAGACACAGATGCGAATGGCCAGCAGGTTTAGGAAGGCTTCTTAGGGGGTGGATGTACAAATTAAGTTTTAAAAAGTAGATGGAAAGTAAACTTACAATTATCCATATCAGAGTTGAGATTTGGATTGCTAAACATAGAGAGAGAGAGATGAACTATCTTTCTTTTTTACTATATTGCTGTTTGAGTTTGCAGACAGATTTGGAAGAACCATTTCAAAACTATAATTTATGGCAAGAAAAAGAGACTAGAATTAACC